TATTATTACTGTATAGTAATACTCTGTATAGTCTAACAGCAGTATAACCATTTTTACTGTTTGTATTTTCTTAACAATACTATAATTGTATTCACAGTTACATTATTAATACTATTATTACTGCATTTTAAAAAACGTACAGTATTGTTACTCCTATGACTTTTTCTTACGTTTTGGTATAAATAACAGTTTTGTTGAACTCTTATTTACAGTGTTATTAATATTATTACTGAGGTTTTTTTTTTTATAGTAATACTACTATGTTTTCATTTACAGTATTGTTACTATTACTGTATTTTCTGTTTATGCCATTATTACTATTATTGTGTATTTTTATTTACAGTATTGTTACTCTTATTACTGTTCCTTAAGTTTTGGTATTATTGAATACTCATTTACAGTATTATTATTACTATTATCACTGTTTTCCCCTTCGCAGTAGTACTAATAATTACTTTACTTTCATTTACAGTAGTATCACTGTATTTATGTTTACAGTACTGTTACTGTGTTCACTTTTACAGTTGTGTTACTAGTATTACTGTCTTTATGTTCACAGTACTATTACTGTATTTTTATTTATAGTATTATTTGTACTGTACTCTCACTTAGGCAGGTATTACAGTATTATTACTAATATCACATATTTACAGTCAGTGTGTGTTTTTATTGACATTATTACTGTTTGCGTCGTAGTACTACTTTATTCTCATGTTCAGTATTATTACTGTGATCACTGTATTTATGTTTACAGCAGTTTGACCGTATTTACATTTATAATACTATTACTAATATTACTGTATTCTCATTTACAGAAGTATTACTGTGTTTATACTGACAGTACTGCAATACTACTGAATGGTCAATTATTGAGTTATTAATGGTTTTAATTAGTTCTGCTTTATTTAAACATGAGTCTGGTTTTATGAGAGACTGAGCGTATTTTACTTTATATTCAGAATAAAACGTGTTCTTAAAGTTTTTTCCAAAGTTTTTCAGGAACATTAAAACCCAACATGAAACACATTCGTCTCATGTAGATGCTCTTTTACCGAAGTCAAAAAAAGAAGAAAAATAAAAGGCGGTCAATGCGGTGAAATCTGCACAAACACGGCGCGGTCGATATGCAATCATCTTCCAGTGAAAGGAGGCGACTTGCAGATCATTAATATAAAATGCAAGCTGCAGATGGATCAATCCGGGTGTTAATGATACACGGACTGACCTGCGTCGGCATTGATCTCGCTCAGCCGTCGGTTCTGGATCCGCAGCTGCAGCACTGAAACACAAGAGCACAGGTTGCTTCAGAATAAAATGTTTCACTGAGAGGAAAGGGAAGGTGAGAGTGAGGCGGCGCTGTCAGGCGATCCGGCCTCGGAGCTCGGATCACCCCATGACTTTGCAGCGCTTGTAGATTATGTATCTGCTCGGATGCCTGCACACATTCAGCACAAACAGGTGAGGCAGCGCCGCCGGGCCGAGACCTGAGAGACCTGCCGAGGGACGGGAGGGGAGGGGAGGCCCGGACCAGGACTATTTATCTCTCACTGGGTCTATTTCTGTTGGTCCCATCCCCCCGTCAGCTGTCCCGCTCTCTCCAGCAGCCTCCAGGCCTTCTCACGTCATCCTCACTGGTGCTGCTGCTAAATGCGCTCTTCCTGCTCCAAACAGAAGTCGTGGCTCCACAGCAGATCCACGCTGTGTCGCTCACTCTGAGCTCTGGCTGCTCACCGCTGCACACTGGACTGGTGGCAGAGGTCAGGAGAGCCTGAGTGGCTTTGTTGAAGAATTAACGGGGTTGTTGTTCAGACATCTTGACCTTCCTTCATATGAAACAGGAGGACGGCTCAGCGCTGCACGTTCACTTTAATCCTCATTCTAACACATGCATCACTTTCATTTCTCCACTTTGATCCCAGCACACAACACAAACTTGTATTTCTTATTACTTTTCTGCTCATTGGACTCGTAGCGCTGCTTCTTATTCGTCCTGTAACACTCGGCGGCACTTTTTAATTTTTACTGTGATATAAAAAGACATTTTAAGTTCCCGGCTGCTCCAGAAACGTCAGTTAGCTTGATTAATGAGTTCAAAGTCATCACAGGAGCTGTGAAAGTGCCCTCGCTGTCTGTCATGTTTTCTACATTTAAAGGTTTTGTTCTTCATTTAACTTTGTTGAAGCCATTTTTTGTTTGTTTTTGCTGGAGTCGGTACAAAGAAAAGCAACTTAAACAAATAGTTTTATTTGGTAGTTGATTTAAGTTTATCCAAATGAAATCACTTTAGGTTCCCCCGCTGCTCTGAACACGTCAGTCAACAGTTCATGAGTTCAAACCAGCACATGAGCTGTGAAAGTGTAAAACTATCCATGTTCAATGAACCAAACTTGAGAAAACAAGTTGAATAAACTTAAATTATTAAGTTGAATCAACTACTTGGAGATTTGCTGTCTTTTGTATTTTGTACATTTAAAGAGTTTCTTTTGGATGTAACTTTGTTGAAGCCATTTATTTTACTGAAGACAAACAGTGACGCTGCTACATTAAAAAAAAGACGATTGTTGGACCAACTTAAATAAATTGATTTATTTGGTGACACACAGTTAAATTAAGTTCATCCAAATTAAGTCACTTTAAGTTTTCCTGCTGCTCTAACAATTTTAGCTAACTTGATTAATTAGTTTAAAATCATTACATGAAAAATTAACTAAAGTTGAGAAAACAAGTTGAATAAACTTAAATTAATCCGCTGAATCAACTACTCACACACAGATTTGCTTTCTTTGATACGTTCTACATTTAAAGAGTTTCTCTCTCATTTATCTTGAAGATATTTTTTACCAGAGAACAAACACAAACAGTGACGCTGCTACACTGAAAAAAGANCAGCTGCTCAGGTTCATCAGTTTGAGTCGTTTTTAAATGAAGAAAAGTCTCATTTCTGTATCTGCAGCTTCTGGAGTCCAGATAGTTTCTGGTTTCTTTCCTCCTGTGAGAAACTCAACCAAACATCAGCCCATTGATCAGAATGGACGATCTCCTATTTTAAACAAGTCTCTTTTATTTTCTCATTTACCTTTTTTAAATTAATGCATTTATTCTCCTACTTATTCCAGACTGCACATAATAATGACTGAAATCACCAAAACAGTGAAAACAGGCCAGAAATCATGAATAAATCTCAATTCTGTATTTATATAAATCATCATTTGTTTTATTATTTTGCAGATATTTGCTGTTATTTGAAAAAAAAAATGTTAAAAGTCATTTAACAGATTTTTCCTGCTTTGTTCAATAACAAACAATAAGTCGTAAAATTACTGAAAAAAGGTCAAATATTAATTAAAAATAGTCCAAAACTGTAAATAATGTCCACATGAAAAATCTGTGTTTTTTTCTTTTACAGCGCTTGACTGTGAAATTATAGTTTCACTATATTTAAATGTAATATTTTTAAAAATATATATTTTACAGATATATTAAAGGTATTTGAAAGATTTTTTAAAACTGTTTGACTGTCTAAATGTACTATAATAATAATAATAATAATAATAATAATAATAATAATAATAATAATAATAATAAGAGGCCAAAACTGTACATAAGGTTCTCGTCAAAACTATAGATTTTTTATAAATAGTATTTTGCTTTTCTACATTTGTTGACCTTTTCAAACATTTTCTTTACTTTATTTAAATAAGCAAAAAATCTAACGTTGTTTTACAGATATTTGTTGTTATTTGAATAAAAGATTGTGTACATGAAGGATTTATTATTAATTCGTTCCGTCATATTAAAGTTTCACTGTTTTTAAACCCAGTCTTCAGGATCCTGTGGGATTTTAACAGCACTTCTGTCTGTCATAGTTCTGCTGACAGTGTGTCTGGATGTAAACATGCGGCCACGTGGTTTGATTTCTAACGTGTTCCCATCGAGCTGCTCCACAGCATCATTCAGTGATCGTCACTTTGTCTCCAGAACAGCAGGAAACACGTCTCCAACCTTCCAAACACACATTCAGGAGTTTGTTTTTACTGAACTTTGTCACAACAGATGAATAATTAGCTGGAGCGGTTAACGAGTACCGTAATGTCTGGACTACAAGCCGCTACTTTGAACTCTGCGGCTTAAACAGCGATGCGGCTAATTTATGGAATTTTACGAGTTAGCGTCGAGACCATAGACTGTATAAAAGATGGACGTAGCAACCGGCCCTGAAAAATGAAGCCAACCAGGAAGTGTCAGAAACCTGCAGTATCACTACGTCCACTAGCTGCTGGCTCCACAAAGCCCTGGCTCCCATAGACTGGAACTGGAAAAGAAGTGATCACAGATCACCAAATACTGCATTCCTACAGCTCAGGATTGTTTTCTTATTAGTTTTCATGGTCAGATCCAGAGATCAGGTGGACAATCTGACAAGAAATCAATACTGAATTTTTAAAACATCGTCAACATGTTGCGGGTCAAGGGGCGTGGCTGGCTTGATTGACAGTCGGCAGCGACCATACAGACGAAGCGAGCAGAAGGCAGTAAATGTGGGCGGGGCAGAGAGGGCCCGCCTCTCAATCCATCTGACCAATCGCTGCTCCTATGGCTCCGCCCCCCTCCCACGATTTTTACGTCACTGGCTCCAAAAATCCAAGATGTCAACCAGGAAGTAGCAAAACCCTGGCTTCATGTTCTCAGTGCAGACGTCACGGCAGCTACGTCCATCTGTTATACAGTCTATGGGGTGTCCCCTGCCTTCACCCTAAGTCGGCCGGGATAGACTCCAGCCCCCCTCATAGTCCGTAGATTACAGTAGTTTCCAGTGAAAATGCATTAAACTTTACGTACCTTTAAAGGTTGTTTCCTCGACGTCAGCTGTTCCTCTGATCGATAAATCTCCACTTCAGCAGATCTTCCATCCACAAAACCTTCCAGCTTCATTCCTGTCTGCATTCGGACGGTTTGTTCACGGGCTGAACTATAAACATGGAGGAAACGGACTCTCTTCTGTTTTCTGATCTGTGGTGCGATAAATGGATCAACAACAAAACAAAACTTACATGGTAACTGTCTTAATGTAAAGCTGACATCTGTTACTTTGGGCACCACTGATGTGCTTCTTGTGCAAAATAATAAATACTGAATTTAAAAAATTGGTAAAGAAATTAGAAAAATAATAAAGCAAAAAGACAAAACAACTGAAACAAGTTCACAGAAAAGTGTTTAGGATGCCTGGATTTGTCCAAAACCACCAAAAACTTGTTAAAAATTACATAAAAAAATGATCATAAGAGGAAAATAAAACGTTCTGGATCGATAGAAGACGTTTGTGAGCTCCCACTGAGGGAGTTTAAAGGGTTAAAAACACGTGAAAGCCAACAGCTGCTTACAGTTTTACCGGAGCGAACGCTGGAAGAACAGTTTGTCTCCGAGCAGCAGGTCCATGATCTCAGACGGACCTCCCGGTTAACCCTCGCTCCTCCAGCTCACCTCTGACCTGCTGCCAACCAGAATAAAGCCGCGCTCGGGCCTTTCAGGAGGACAGAACTCCTCCGTCTGCACAGAACCTCGGACCGGGACGGGCCGGCTGAGCGATGCAGTGTTTAATAAGTTATCTGCTGCTCGGCTCTGTTCGGCTCCGGCTTAAATGGAGCAGAAAATTGAGAGAGTGCGAAAAAACAGAGGAGTTCCTCACAAACTCAATTACTCCCTGGAGCCGGTCCAAGCGGTCAGCGCACCAGCAGATATCTTAATTTTTTTTTCTTTATCGCAGAAGATCCATGTCGAGCTTCGCCTTCAGCGATCATCGCAGAAAGGAAAATCAGATCGGCTGAAATTAAAGCCCAGATATGAAACCTTTAGCCACAAAGAGCCGCATTAAACAGGAAACATCCGAAACGTGACGAGGATGCAATTATAGCTGTGAAAATTTAATTCCAATAAGTTAACATAATTCACATTTTTAAAAAAAGAAAGAAAATCTGAATATAGTGTTTATGTTAGAAGAAGTCATTTGGTCAAACTCTTACAGGATCCAACAGAACAACGGACGTGAGCGTCTCCATCCAGCTCGCTGGAAACAAAGGAAAACAAGTGCAAATGACTCACAGTGTCTCTGACGGCAGGAAAGATTTCATCTTCCTCATGAGATAGTGCAGAAGTGCAGCTCTTACAAATAGTTCTCTTCCTATGTACAACTAAATAAGCTTTCTCGGTTCTCTTCGGAGCACTTTAGGGTTTTGTCGAGGATTGCATGAAAACGCAACTTCACGGGGGCTCGTTGGGAGTCCGATCCAAACTCAGAACATTGATTTCTAGCAGCTTTCCCTTTTAAATGCAACGTCACGCAGGAAAGCTCGTTTAAAATAAACTTACTTTTGGCCCATTGGATGGAATGGGAGTAATATACATTCATATAAATACATTAAAACACTCAAATATTGCAGTGCTCCCTTCTTTGAATGTCAGTTGACGAGGAGGAAAAGTTGAAGATCGTGTTAGGTTTCCGTTTCCGACTCTGAGTTTTCCAGGTTAGACACAGTGGAGTTGTACCATTCGGCGCTTTCTTCCTCCTCCTGCACCGCCGAGCCGCCGCCGCCGCCGCCGCCGCCGCCTCCCCCGCGGTCCCTCCTCTCGTTCAGCATCTCCATGGCGACCTGGTGGTAGGGGTGTTTGCGTTTGGTGTGCCGGCGCAGGGTGTTGCGCTCAGCGAAGCGGGTGTGGCAGAGTTGGCACTGGTAGGGTTTCTCTCCGGTGTGAACCCGCTGGTGGCGCTGCAGCTCGCCGGCCTCCCTGAAACGCTTGGCGCAGATCGGGCACACGAAGTTCCTCTGGCCGGTGTGGATGTGCTTGTGTCTCTGCGGGAAGAAAACATCTATTAACATCTTCAGAAGCGGGATTTTCACATAAATTCTGGTCATTAGTGAAGTTTGTTTTTAACCCTCTGAACCCCAGAACTCATTGGCAGGTTTGAAACGAATGTTAAGCTTTTAGAAAAATAAAATAGAAATCACAAAAACGACCTGTCCTGGAACTAATCATCTGGTACATGAAGGTCTGTCAGAAACTCAACCAGATCTCTGCCACAGTTCATTACAATCACTTTGTTCTACGTGTCTCGTTTTAAAATGGGCCTAAAAGTTAACGCTGCGAGAATTCAGGTTTCATGTTGAACTGCAGGCAGTGTTTCCTCAGAGGAACCTTCTGGATCAATAACTAGNTCATTTAACTTTGTTGATGCCGTTGTTTACTGGTCGGTACAAAGAGTTTTTTTCATAAACACTTGGCAATAAAACAGTTGTTGATTCTGATTTATGAGACGAGGAAAGTTTGCACTGGAGACAAAAACAGAAAAAAAAAACTGTCGATGAATTAGCAAACGAGCTTGAACAAAGTGGCTTTACTTTGAAATGTTGCTGCCGCTCAGCTATGCACATACAGGAACCGAACGCCGGCAGCTGCCTCCTGAATCACGTTCTGCAGCAGGTGGCGGTGCACCTTCGGGACTGCCTCTGTGCCATTCTCTCGCCTTTATATTTTGCCAGCCGTTTACGACAGCTGTCTGCAAACGGAGCAGCAGACGCTACAACTTGTAGCTAAAAACTAGCAAAACGCAGCGACGGGAGGTTCGTCTGAAGCCGTCTGTCACCGAACGCTGCTCGTCTGCTGGAAGCTGCGTCCAGAATATCGAACCAGAATTCATCCCTGACCGCGATAAACCCTCATCAGATGTTAAAGTATTCAGAGATCTGTCCTACACGTGATTGTTCATCTTTTTATCATTATCCTGCTGCCTTAAAATGTACATTAACTGCACTAATTAGCTCAGAATCATCTTGTGGGTTGTGAAAGTTAAATTAACTGAACTTGAAAAATCAAGTTCAACCAACCTAAAATATTAAGTTGAATCAACTACTCACGTAGACGGTGGTTATAGACACGTTTACTGTCCTGGAACATTTTTAAACATTTAAATGGTTTCTTTTTACTGGAGTCGGTACAAAACCAAACAGTGAGGCTGCTGCACTGTAAAAAGAGACGTGTTGGACCAACTTAAATGAATTGTTTCATTTGGTAACACACAGTTGAATTAAGTTCATCCAAATGAAGTCGCTGTAAGTTTCCCTGCTGCTCCAAACATGTCAGTTAACTTCATATTAACTTGATTAATTAGTTCAACGTCATCAGGAGAGTAAAACTAGCTGAGTTTAATGAACTAAACTTGAGAAAACAAGTTAAATAAACTTAAATTATTAAGTTTAATCAACTACTCAGAGATTTGCTGTCTTTTATAACAAACTGCTTTCGTAGGTAACACACAGGTGAATGAGGCTTTTCCAAACTGAAGTCATATTAATGCGACCAGTTTACGTTAAATGTGCTTTAATCTTTTTAACCTTTTAAATGAACAGTTTTCGTTGCTGCAACTTAATTTTAAGGAAAGTCAACCTGAAGTTTTTCCACCTTAACTTTTTATTTTACCAAAAAAATAAATCATGATTTTCTGTTTCTTCTCTCTGTAATCAACCTGGTTAGAATCGTCTTCCTTATGTATGAAAAGAAACGATCGTAATTTACGTTTGCACGACGTCTGTTTTCTCAAACTACAAAAATGCCGACAATGCATCCTGTAAAGTTAACGAGTTCAGCTGGTCGTTCATTAAACGCCTCATTTTAAAATCCCCTCAAGTTGGAAGAACTCAAGTTTTAAAGTCGTCTCAAGATATTACAGCTTTACGTTTAAGGCTCGAATAACTAGACATTAGCAAGAATTATAGACACGAAGTAAACTAGAAAAAATGAGTTGATGTGACCAAATTAAACTAATTAAAACACATAAACTTGAACGTTCCTCCTCCTTTGACTCTCCTGATGCTCTAGAGTTCCATCGTACAGGTTGTCGTTGGGTTTTGTCTCATTTCTTTTCTCTGCACGTATATTTTGTGTTCAGGTTTCGCGGTGCAATAAACTTGATTTGATGTGATCAGTTCCTCGTCACCAGTAGACGCTTCCCACACAAACACAGTGTTTTCTGCCAAACCGAGCTGCTGCCTTTCTGTTTGTTTGCTCCGCTTTGACGAGACGGAGTCAGAAAAAGCTGACGCCACAAACCGTGCAGTCACCAATTCGGCAGCATTAGAATCACAGTCTGACGACAGCTGTGGGGCTGTTTGCTGCTGCTGCTGCTGCCAGACGGCCGCAAATCACAAACCATTATTTTTCATTGTTGACTGATCTGCAGATTATTGTCTGGATGAATCAATTAGTCGTTTGGCGTTTAAAGTGTCAGAAAACGCTGAAAAATGTGGATCGGTGTTTCCTCAAATGTCTCGTTTCATCCAAAGACGTTCAGTTTGCCGTCTCTGCAGCTCAGTCGTCGACATCAATCAGCCTCATCAACGTCCACTCATTCAGCCGCTGCAGCTACAGACCGTCCTACTTCTGATTATTTGATAAATGTGAGGAAACCTGATCGTGTTTCTAGAAGAGTCGAACCACAAAAACCTCCAACTGAAGGTCAAGTAACAACCGATTCATCTGATTCTAAAATCTGCTGGAGGCGACCAAATCAGAGCTAAAAATCAGGATTCATTCGGTCTCTGGATTTAAACTTTTCCTGATGGAGTTTGGTTTGATAAAGGCTCATTATTATTTTCTGGATGAATCATCAACTGTTTGGTCAATACAGTGTCAGAAAATGGTGAAAAATGTGCATCAGAGTTCCTAAAATGTTTTGTCCAAAAAATCTTCAGTAAACTGTCACAGAGGAGGAACTTTTTTAAATTTTTTTTAAATACGAGAACCGATGTGACAGAAATTCATCCAGATTCTAAAATCAGCTGGAGGCGACCAAATCAGAGCAAAAACATCAGGACTCCTTCATAAACATCGTCTGTCTGGATTAAAATGGGAATTTTTTTGAATGGAGTTTGGTTTGATGAAGGCACAAGATGCCGATTAGTCAAAAGCCGAGGATGAAAAATGTCCAAAGATATTCAGTTTACTGTCATTAAGGAGGAAAGAAACGAGATTTTTCTTCAAGAAATTACTCAAACTGACTCAGGATTAATTTGATCGTTGTTTGAATCATTATTTTTATTTTATTTTTCACTGTTTACTGAGGCTTCAGCTAATCAGGATTTTTTTTATTTTTGGGCCAAATCAAAGCTAAAAACAATCAGGATTCATTCAGAAGCTCCTCTGTCTGGATTTAAACCAGAACTTTCTCCAACAGAGTTTGGTTTGATGAAGGTTCTTTGTGCAGTTAATGATTATTTTCACTGTTGATTAGTTTCCGGATGAATCGATGAACTGTTTGGTTCTAAAATGTCAGAAAATGGTGAAAAATGTGGACCAGAGTTTCCATAAATGTCTTTTTTTTTGTCCAAAGACGTTCAGTTTACTGTCACAGAGGAGGAAATATTCACCTTTAAGAATCACAGAATTCAGACTGTTTTCTCTGAAAGTGGCTCAGGCTGATTTATTGATTATGAAAATAGCTGGGGATTAATTTCACCGTCGACAGCTCGTCGATTAATCGCTGCAGCTCTGGAGGTCCTGCACGCTGGTTGTCATCTATTAAAATAACCAACAGCTACTTTGACAATCGATTCATCTGCTTTTTTTTCAGACATGAAGCTCCTTCAGCGTGAATGTTTTCCGGTTTCTTTCCTCCGTGGCAGCAAACTGGAGATCTTCTGACATGGTAGAAACCAAACAGCTGATCGTGTGATGATGTTCTTTGTCACGTGGAGCAGCTCAGCTGAGCTTCTCCCCATTAAACTCTCACTAATAATGACTCATCTAAGTGTGAATATTTAATGTTGTAGAGATTTGAAACCGGCTTTAAATAAAAAGAGGAGTTTCCTGGCGAAGGTTTGTCACCCGCAGATCTTTATCTTCAGCTGTCTTCACATCACTTCAAGACGTCTCTGTCTGCGGCTAGCGATCGCTAAATCCATGCGCCGCGATCAATGCCCTCACCTCATTGATCACATGATGGACAGCGTGACCGAGCGGCCGATAACCTTCACAAACACTCGACGTGGGAAAACGGAGCCCCGCGCTTTAATCGGCGCCTCACCTGAGCGGAACTTGTTCCGGATGAGCAGCGACCTCTCGGAGGCCAGCAGAGTCATGGTGGACGGAGGAGGTTCCTGGCGTGGCCCGACCAGGGGAATGAACGGAGCCTCTCTCCTGCTGCAGAGGAAGCAGATGCTTGTTAATCCACTGATGGACTCAGGCCGATATTGATAGAGGCACACAAAGCACGGCCGAGATAGATGGAGGGGCAAACGGGGCAGCAGGCTCTGGTGCAGCAGCAGGCCTCCCTGCAGACGCCCCGTCACGACCACACGGGGAGTCACAGAGGCCCACCCACAGTGACAGGTCCACGGCGTTAACGGGACACCCACGGCACACATGAACTTGTGCTAAAGGCTGCCGATCTGCACAAGTTGCATTAGCGTGCACACACACGGGCTGTATCGATCCGGACCCGGTGCACAAACACACCAGCAGAAGCACACACAGGTTATGCATACTAAAGCACCGCCGAGCCCCCCGAGTCCCGGTCCGCTTATTCACAGGGTCCGAGAAGGAGGCCGCTCGCTCATTAGCGCAATCAAAACGCCAGATTGAGATTTGACGTCGGTTCCACGGCGGGGAACCGAGAAGACAAGCAGGAGAATAAAAGAGAATACTCACAGGAGGAAAAATAGGAGAGGATTGAGTCCCTCGGGGGAAGTTGGAGTGGATTTAAGATTAAATGGAGAGAGGTGCGAGGTGGAGGCAGAGAGGGAACGAGAGAGCTTCCTTTAATTTCTTCCTTTCATGTTCTCTTCATGTTCTCGGCTGGTTCCTGGAGGTAACGTCTGTGGTTCCTTCGTCGCCTCGCCACAGAGCAGAACTCACCCTCTCTGCCTCGCTGTCCCCCCAAACATCCCGGATCTCTGCTGCCAACTGTGAGCGACTGTCAAACCTCCCCCCTCCTCCCCCCCTCC